TTCCTGGCATGGTTGCACCTTGTGGAACGAAGTTCCAGCCAGTGTAGCCCGCGGGATCATTGCAGCACTGAAGCCCGACCACCACGTCAAGGTGGTAGCTTTAGGTCGGGCAATGAGGATGAAGCAGCTGTACAGTGCCTCTTGGCTATTCAGCATAGAGTAGAATCAATAACGGGACGAAATCTCTATTGAACGTTACCAAATCTGCTGACATTACCATTAAGCGTATCGCTAGATTGATGGCGTATGAAACAGAAAAAAGACTTGCCTCAAGCTTCGACAAGGAACCCAGTGTTCCGTGGATATCGTCCCATCTTCCTCCTCCTCATCGTCCCGGCGTTCTGAATGATTTCCTGTCGCGGTGCCACCAGCGCCTTGGTTACACCAAATGATGATAAAAAGATCATCCCCAGCGGATGCTAGATAATAACCTGCATAAACAGAGGTATCCAAAGTTGTTTAGTACTGAGTAACTGGGTGCAAAATTAGATCAAAACAGAGGACAGCTCGGTCCTCCCGAAGAAGCGGTTCACTTACAGCAGTCAGAATATCAAAGTTGACTGGTCTGACGAGCGACATGGCTAGATAAGAGCCAAGTCTAAATCATGCGATACTGGGATGTACTATGTACCATGTTACAGGAATCTAACTGCGATGTGAACAAAGGGTCAGTGAGACATATTAAGTAGTTAACCTTTGTAAAGCATGTCTTCGAAGAAGTAGTTTATGCTAATTCCGTTAGTACCTATGGTCTGTCTTCCTTTGGCATTATGTGAAGATTTTGTAGACCTGGAAATCTGGAACACTCAAACATTAGGACCTGCACTTGGAGCTAGGTTCTTGACTTTCATCGAACAGCATATCAGCCCACATATAAGCACAAGGAATAACATAATATTTAATCATTATGGATGGACTACCGCGTCACTTCGGCGGTCCCCCTCTAAAATGCGTATACTATTCTACATATCTGGCGCAAAAGCGCGGGATTGTTGAGGAATGTCAGAGCCCCGTTCAGCGCATCGGTTAAAACTTATTTGTCTACGCACCACTGACGGATTGTCAAATGAAGATTTCTTTTAGAGCGACATTACCTGTATTACCACCTTGTTAATTAAGTGGAACTCCCATGAGCTTCATCTGAGAAATCTGACAGTGATGGCGGCGTAAGAACACCGGAGCTTAGTTCTCGCACAGCCATATCAATCAGCTTTAAAAAAACCGTTAAGTTGAAGAAAGCAATGAAGAGGAGAACGGAGTCTAAAACAGGCCGACTCAGATACCAAAGTTACCTGCACCGCCATACACTCACCGAGACAGTGTGGGGAGAGATGGTAACAGTCAAATCCCGAAATTTCAGCGGACAAACACATGGAGGATTGAAAGCAATTCAGTTTGGGACCGTGCCAAGCTTTACCCATCTCTTGATTTGCATGGGAACGCGCAACCCATGGACAAATGACCCCACCCCATGGTGTTGAATACGTCGCAAAAGCGAAGTACCTGCTAGCAATGTGACAAACTATTGGTAGTCAGGCTGCATTTACTGGCCAACTGACCAACAACCGAGGTACCAGATGCTTCATCATCTAGTCACTTTATAGCCAATTCTTTTATGGCAGCATATCCAAGCTAGGGCACTGAGACAGCGACGGTCGAGGAGTTAAAGACCCTTCAGGTTCTCTGCTCGAATCTCAACCATTTCACAAATCATCCCCAACTGCATTCATACAAATCAGAGCCGCCAGGTCACAGGGTACGCCCTTCTCACGCGACACGGGACGCAGGCGAGCACAGTCTAACCTTTCAAAAGCGTTGAGACAGCTATCCCACTATTACAACTTCAGTAACACCAAACACGTTCGACAACCTCCAATGTCCCTCTTTGAAATGCAAGGACAGTCTCAGGACACGAGTTTACACTTTACGAGTGCAGATAGGCGAAAAAATGGGAATATCCTTGTTAGCTTTCTAAGAAGGCTCCTATTTAGTGTCCCAACAAGAGAACAATGTCATATTCATATTCCAGGTCATCAAGATTCTTGCCTAGAAGGATTTGAATGCCGGGATACCTGAAGATCTCCATGACATCACCAATAAAAATAATAACGCGGAATGGAAAACATCGCTGCAAGTAGGTAGTTTTGAGGAGTAACAAATAGAAACGCAGTCCAAGCCACAACAACCAAACAGTGTTTGAAGCCACGCAATATACCGAATGTCTGTGTGCTAGCACTTTCGAGTAGCTTCCACAAAATGTAACCTACCTTAATGGCGACCCATTCACATGATCAGAAGGGTTCGGATGCAGACAGATCTGGTTGCTAAATCTCCGAAGTAGAACTTGGCCAAAGAAATCACATGAGTCACGTGAGTCATGCGAGTGAGTGTGCTACATGAATATCTGACCACATTTGTGTAAGGCTACTACACTGGACAGAAAGCAACCAGCCGATCGATAATTATGGAAAATTACGGCTTCTTGAACAAAATTAAAGATTACAAGAGTTGATGGATAGAGTTAAAAGGTTAGGGTGATATGTACCGCCATCTTTGCGGAAAGCTAGTCCCAATCCGGGTGAACGAAAAAGGTGTTGGCTACCGAAAAGAGTTACATCCGCAGTTGGACTTGTCAACGACAGAACAAAAATGGTATTTCAATTCGGCCACTTTACAAAGGAAGCGCAGGATGATGAAAAAACGGAGCACACCAGGTTCCGTCTGATAAGTCAAAGGGATTCCCAGTGACGTCGTTAGATCGGTACGTCGAGCAGCGCACATGAAAGCAAGCGATTTAGGAATCCCCAAGCCTCACGTAAGAGTACATGAGAGATGACAGACGCAACTTTTGAAAGGAATTCCAGTAAATTCTTACTACCTCCCACAGAAAAAAAGTTATTTCCTGTCAATCGGAACTAGGAGTCGTTTTTTCCAGGATTACACATCTTTGGAACTCGGAAGATGAAAGTTTGCACAGTAACGTAATTCTGTCTCAATCAATTACGTCCAAGGCCTTAGGATTTTGGAGACATAAACGACGCTTAAAAAAGACAAGGCGGTCATAAAATTTCTTCGTGAGGTGCATACGAAAACACACCTACACGCCTTCATAGTAAGACCATGCCATGTTATAATTCTCACAGCAGAAGTTCCAGTTGTTGTGCTAGCAACAGTTATTAGAAGCTGGTTTCAATCTTATCAGCCATGCTCTTCATTCCACAGAATTGATGAATAAACGTACATGATACATGTGGGCATCGCAATTCAGAGATAAGTGCTGAGTTATAACACTAGGTTTTCAACTGGTCCTGTCATTAGCCAACCTGAAGAGGATTTTACTGTACCAGTCTATATCTAGCGATTCAATCCCTCATACAGGTGAGTAGCTGTAAGGTAATACTTATGTTAATCCTATGGTAAATCGCTGCTACCACGGAGTATGTTGTTATAGATGTAGTTCAGTGCTACGAATGATACTAACGCTGACCATAAAACAATGTCCAACGTTGATGTGTGGCTGTAGAGCCTTCAAAGAACTTCAGCAAGAAAATAGTGAGGTGTTGTGAGGTGAAGTGTGCCTGCGAGAACCTATACGAGATTCATTATTACCCAAGCTCCGTTAGTAGACGTTATCGGTACTTGACGCATCATGAGAGGACAGTGAGGATGGCATGAAGCAATAGCAGATTAGAGAAAAGAAATAATTCACCGATCGATTCTAGTGACAGGAAAAGATGGGAATGTGCAAATCTGCGACTTGTTAGGAACGCGGTTGTGCTTTAAGTTAGGTCCACCTAATAATAGCTTTCACCTCCTTCAAATATACACGTGACAGCAGAGTGCCAGAAAACCAAGCGATGACAGCCGTATGCTAAACACGAGAAGTGGCTTAAGCGCACTCCAAACATCCACAGCGCGTTAGTTCTTGTAAGAAACAGATGTGAACAAATCAAATGTTCTAAATAAGCATACAGTAAAAAATAAATCATTCAGTGGTGGCCTGAAGGTGTGTTTCTGACAAGCAATCTGAAAGAAGTTTACGAGCTGAAACATTGGCGAGCTGACCAAGCGCATGGGCGAGGTCAGTTCGAACCATCATAGCTCATTCGGTTAAGATATTATAGCTGAGTTGGATCGAGCACGGTGTAAGCATTGAAGGAAGGCAAGCAATAGTCAGTGCATCAAAGAAACCCGGTGCCAATATCTACGAGATCAAACCAAGATACACAGATATTGGTGGTTCAACACCGACATTAATCCTGTGACAAAACTTTTTACTCTTTGCTCGCTGGGAAACGTCCTGAGGATGGGAGCACAGCGACCAGAAATCGTTGGCTGCCTTTCATTATTATACCATGGAGCAAAGGTCGTTCTATCACATCCTACTAGGCTTTCGGGCTGATTGAACCATGGCTCGCAAAGCGCTTGTGCTCCTATGGTCCAAGGGTGGAAGAAGCTCGAGTAGGGCAGCCACTCAAGCGCAGACAGAATGTGAAGCAAGGCACTATTAGATTCGACTTGGTTGGGCCGTCTGGACTACCTTCCGGGGTGGTTAACTAGCTTGGAGTTCTACAGCTCTGCGGATGTCTTTCTATTCAGTACCCGTAACTTATGTTCTCCACTGTGCTATTTCCCGTTATTCGGTATGATAGTCCTTTTGGATAAAATGTTCTCTCTCTCTCTCTCTCAAATGTTTCACACAGGGAGTAAGGATTTCAAAGTGTCAGTAAGATACAAGACAGAAGTTATCTTATACGTTGTCTATCGATTCCAAAGTTCCCAGGATGGAGGAGGAGGCACGAGGGTCGGGATACTGCCAGGTTGCCCAAGCCTAGACACGGGAAGTCGAGAGGCAGAGGTCGGGTTAGAACCACGGACTATCCGGTCCCAGGATGGAGAAGCAAACTTTGCCTCGCACAGTCAAAACGAAGTTATGGGTAGGTATATTTGAATAGTTGGATGATCCACCCACACTTGACTCCAATAAATACACCAGTAACATTTTGCGACAACAATATGAAGCTATATCTATAGTTTACCCGCAAACAGTATACTCGGACAGCTGTGCAGACAGCTAACCAAAAAAATCACACTCCTGAATGATAGTGCAAACTCAACTGATGCAAACCATCATTAGGTCTTTGAACGTTTCCAGTAATTTGACATTTAGTTTACTGCAGTTCTTATTACTTATTGTGTTGTGATGGCATGCTGATCAAACGGAAGCTAAATACAATATGCAACAACTTTTATCGTGAGCTCAGCGGGTACACTAGAGTACACGCGCTGAATTCAGTGTAACAAATGCTGATCGACAGACAACGGTTCTGATAGGCTCACATGCCTAGCCTGATAGAACCGAGTCGAATCGAACAGTATTTCAGTTCTACAAAGACGCACCGGTTGGTGACCAGCGAACGACGTTCACCGGCTTCTCGTGCCGCTTCAGTGATGCCAGATAGCTAAGGTGCTGCCCCATAACACCTTGGAGATTACCGTCCGAGTCTTTTTGAGAAGTTCGCTGAACCACAGATCGTGTCTTTGGCTCTGGTCCAGCACTGATCCAATCCAGAGTAACACGCCATAATCGGACAACGTTGTCTCCACCAGCTGTGGCTAACCTTGTCCAGATAGGTTCCGTCAAATTCAGACGTAGTTCATCTGTTTCCTCAGAAAGCAGCAAATCCATGAGTGGCGCACGGTTGGCTTTGTCGGTGTCCGAGTGAACAACCGTTGGGAATGAGTGTTGGAGGTCACACGAATAGATAGGCAGTGTCTCATGCCAAGCTATTTCTGGAGTTTGAAGACGCATTCGATTGGCTGCAAGTAAAAAAATTCCCAGGATTCAGTGCTATTAACACTTCACTCTCTGAAGGGGTACAGCTGACTTGTTAGGATAAACGAGCGACGGACAAGGAACATAAATATAACCATAGACCAGGGAAAAAATCCTCAACATACAGCAATCGATTACTAAAAAAGTACTGAGAGCAGTCGCACTGTATGAACGCTAGTTTAAGTGAGAAAACTCAAACTATGCGCGAGTTCGGAATGGCGAAAAGCAAAATACTACCGAAAAACTGAATTGATCAACATGTGCGTAAAAGGGTGGCAGAATATCGAACAATTCAACGCGTACACGATACCAACATCAGCCTGAACAAACATGGTATTGTATGGAACGCGATCGCTTATTCACGTCACAAAATACTGGTATCAAATGAGATGAATGCACAGAGCAACAAGCAGGTAAACAATAATACACGGTGTAGGAAACAATCAACCGAAGATCCGCATTATTCAAGCTTCAGACATTATAAGAACCACCATTCTACCTGACATCGATCATCATTCACTCCACAATGGATCCGAACTGATCGTGTCACGATTAAGCATTGGTGGAGAAGCTGATTCCAAGATTATCACTTACACCTGTTTGGAATCCGATCGTACTACCGTGTTCGCGAACCTACGATTAACTACTGTGGTGAGAGAGCTAACCCACCACAGCATGTCAGTGGTGGTGAGTTCCAGACGTTTTAGCGGAATTTGGCAGAGTAAGTGAGGAAAAAGACTTTGAATGGCAGAGAAACACTGGGAGTCTATCGAACGCGCGATAAAACGCGTCAGGACTAACGTCTATGGATACACCAGCAGTTTGGCAGAGCTATGAATGGCAAACGAAAGCCTCCGTTTGATGGATATGCGACATCCTATTCCTGCCGATTCCACCCGTAACAAAAAGAAAAACAGCCAAACACCAGCTGTCTGGGAGGTGGCGGGAAAAGAGAAGTGTGGTGGAGCACGCACGAACAATGAAAACCGACGTCCCTTTCGATCAACTGGCCCAAAGAAATGCACAAATAAAACGATAGACGGACATGACGGAGCGTGGATTACCAGCATGAATAGACGGGAAGACCATCGGATGGAACACTTTGTGACACAACTTAACCAAGTTGCTCCTATGGTCACAATCTGCGGCATCTATGACACGCAAGTTTGGCCTATCTCAGTCAGTCCATGAGAGGAGAACGGGCAAATACCTGGGGAAAATACACCTAATTCGGGACTACTCAATCCTGGTAGTGACGATACGGACATGACTAACAGCCTTACTTGCCGAAATCTGGATATGAGAGTACATCTTCACTGCGTGGTAAAGATTAGACGTGGTCCTTATAATCGAAAAAGGCAAACCAACTGACATCTTGAACTACGGAATCTCATACCAGCTGTACCGAAGAGCCTATTGACCACCATGTTTAGGATACTGTCCTACGCCTGTGAACTGACGTGCCACGAACATTCTGGCAGTGGTCGCCGTTCTGTTGATCATACCTTCGCACAACGGAAAATTCCGAGGCGTAGCAGCCTACATCCACTGGAAACGCCTAGGGTTTTCTGGACAATAAGGATGCTTTGGATTCCGGCACTAAATATCTCATGGAGATAGCTTCCAGAAAACGGCTAGGCAAGCAGATTCCTTAGTATGGAACGCTATGGATGCTACACAGGAACCCACACCAAGAAGCATCCAACTGTATGATCAGCCTTCACCATCCTGTTTGATAACTGCTGGATTTCACAAGATATAGCCACTTTTCCTTTCCTATCCAATTACACACTGGATGGCGTTCTCAAACGAACGCTAAGATAACTGGTGATGGCGTAGTTCCTCTCCGGAAACAGCCTTCGAACTGGACTACACGGACTATGTAGTGTTGTTGCGAGATTATCTTCGGGCAGTCCAAACTATCCTAGATAAAGCATCGATTGGACTCGGTTTAAGTTTTCCACCACCCAAACGTAAGTTACTTTGGAAGGGCTGGTCTTCTGTCCCAAATCTAACTCTCGTCGGTAAAAGTCGTGAGTCGCTTCACCCACCTCGGAAGTCGAATGTCAGCTACAGGAGAAGTAAGCCCTGTATTAGAACCCAGGATTGAAAAAGTAGGAGTGGTATATATATATATATATATATATATATATATATATCCTTCAACTGCGGCACCCTTTCGATGCCTGAGGACCATTCCACGCAAAGTAAGCACGAAGACTGGAATAATGCCAGGTTACCCAAGCCTTGACGAGAGGAGTCGAGACAGAGAGGTTGGGTTCGAACCACGGATATTCCACTGAGCCATCTTGCCATATACTTATTTGGCGCAAGATCATGAAGTGGAAGGTACATAGAGCGAACAAGCCTTCAAGGTGATGGAGTCGCTGTAAGATATGGCAGGCAACCGATGCCACTGGCATTAGTTTTCGGCCAGCTTGTATGAGTATGGATTGTGTGGGGGGCATAAAATCTTTCGAGCGACTGTGGTAAACCAGCATCAGACTCTTACCTCGCTCGCTCTTCGTCATTTTGTGGATTTAATGACAAATGAGTTAACTTTTTGGATGTAGGGTACTGAAGCATCAGTGTCAACAATCATGTCACTGTCAGGTATGACGATTGCATCATGTAAAACGTTTGATTCAAAGGAAGCAAGAATACTGTTTGTACAAAATAGGTTGAAGCAAGCAGTGGCGGCAAAAGTGTTAATTTGTAAGCACGAAGACGGACAGGAAAACAAAATTTCAAGGAACAGAGCCGTTACCAACCTGACCGCGAGCCCTAATTAGTTTTCGGCCAGCTTGTATGAGTATGGATTGTGTGGGGGGCATAAAATCTTTCGAGCGACTGTGGTAAACCAGCATCAGACTCTTACCTCGCTCGCTCTTCGTCATTTTGTGGATTTAATGACAAATGAGTTAACTTTTTGGATGTAGGGTACTGAAGCATCAGTGTCAACAATCATGTCACTGTCAGGTATGACGATTGCATCATGTAAAACGTTTGATTCAAAGGAAGCAAGAATACTGTTTGTACAAAATAAATAGGTTGAAGCAGTGGCGGCAAAAGTGTTAATTTGTAAGCACGAAGACGGACAGGAAAACAAAATTTCAAGGAACAGAGCCGTTACCAACCTGACCGCGAGCCATAAAACCAACTGAAATGCTATTGATCAGTGCAGGATAATCGATTGTCAGCCAACAAACTGAAGTTTAAGGTGTTTCGGTATGGAACGATCCAGGGAATTCGAAATATTTGCTTCGTAACCAAAAGGTGCTGGGATTTTGGCTTAAGTGACAAAAACTAACACATAAATGGTAAAAATGATCGATCGTACCTACATATGGAACTAACCGACGTCTCACTGGATAGTTTGAAGTTGAAACCTTTTCCCGGAAACCCAGAATAAATATAAGCATTTTGACTCACCACACAAAGGAGTTTTTATTTGATATAACAAAGTCCCAAGATCTCGCCACCGATGTGCAGTTTGGATACGAGAAACCTTATGGTTCGGATGCTGACAGCAAAGGTGATCTTGGCTGCCGTGAAGGATAAGAGCAATGCAAATGCATAGTTCGCCAATTCCATGCGGACACCACGTGATACATGATCGGCTATAAGATCTCGATACAGCTGGACATAACTGGATTGCTATGAAGTTTACAGTGTGTATTGAGAGAAGAGAAAGCGTTCAGCTGTAGCACCCTTCCGGTGCCTAACTGCCATGCCACCCGAAGGAAGCACGAGGGCTGGGATACTGCCAGGTTGCCCAAGCCTAGACAGGGGAAGTCGAGAGGCAGAAGTCGGGTTCGAACTAGGAACCTTCCGGTCAGTAAATTCGCGCTCTAACCACTTGGACCATCTCGCCCCACAGTGTGTATTACAAAGAGAACAATCATTATCCTCAGCTGTGAAAACCGCGTATATGTTTCAGTGACTACAGTTGCCACAGTTCGTCCACCGATGATTTGGGGAGATAGACGTGGAGAGTTACGGATTGGAAGGATTAACTATTGAAATTGACGGGCAAATCTGACAGCCAAACAAGATTTTACGTTGGAGGAATCGAGGACGGGACGTTATGCACTGAAGGCAACGTCCTAGATTTATGTGCCGCAATTAGTGCGCGACTGGGCCCTGTTTGTCAGTATCTCTAAGCATTAATGTGTCCCGTCTCAGAGGCCCTATCCACGGAGACGATAATGGCCAGCGCAGCTAAGTTTGCTGGTAATGGCTTTCATACTTCACTACCAAATCACTGTCTGACGTCCTTTGGTTCGTTTCTACCCTCCGAGTGGTTGCGCGAAAAGCACTCGCCGAGAAAGACGGTCAACTGGCATACAGAGCACGTAACCAAACCAGCACAACCTGCGATCTACCTTGGCAATAATAATATGACGTCCCCCCCCAGAGATGATAGTAAATAATCGTTCGGCTTTAACATTAACTTCCATTGCCTAGAAGTCATACAACCCGAAACACGAGAACAATCTCGATGACCCGTTGCATCCACTGTGCGTTAGTCGACGTTACAGAACTTAAACAGTGTACAACAGCATAGAAACGATGTTCCTAAGGCATTCGACAACACTTGAATGCGTACCTGCAAAAAGTACAAAGTACCCAAACAGACAGGCGTACCATAATCGGGTATTCTGTAGTTGTGTTTGGCAAGGTTATCAAGCTAAATCAAGCCATTGGATACAAAGTTGACGCATACGGGATAAGTAGATCCGAACAGCACGAACGCAGCCTGAACGTGGAATAGCACGATTGAGTGTCTTATGTTGAACACTGAGGATTTCGACCTTTTATAGTAACATCGGCTTTGAAGGTGGGACAGACCACGGAGAATAGTAACGTCGAAGAGAAAATACGTCGCCTTAACGCGGAAGATGCCACTATTTGATTAACTGAAAATCTCAACTGAAACTGCTACAATTAAGTCTTCAAAAGCGAACTGCTGGAATCAGAGCAACATATCAAACTGTGTAGGGCACGTGATCAACGTTTGTTCGTGAACTGCCGTCACTCGTGACATATGAAATTGACTAGTCTTGTTAGGACCAATAGCCATTTACTGATGACTTTAAACAAATCGGAAGTCAATAACCGTTAGGCAATTGAACTCTCAATGTGTAGCAGCCGTGAAAGTCGAGGAAGCAAGAAGGCTGAGATGCTTCCAGGTTGCCCAGGTCTAAACAGGAGCTGGCGAAACGCCAGGGTTGGATTGGGACGATGGACAATTGGATCAGTAGCTACGCGCCTTAACCAGTAAGCCACATCGAAGTGTAGCATCGAAATGAACAACTATTATTTACGGTCGCTAATCCCAACTTCAGCGGGAGACTTCCGAATTTAGGCATCTGCGTCGCATAGTTTTAAAAATTGAAATCCATGAACTAGGAGACCAATGGACAGCATTGTTTGAATTCAAGCAAAGCAGTGGTATGTTGGGAGAAATCCGAGATAATAAGATTGGAGTACCATAAAAGAGAGATTCAGGTCTTCAATCAATTGGAAAAGGTTTGGAACCGATTGAGAAGTCATCGTTTCAGAAGAACTTGATAAACAATCGGTAGTTTTTATTTGGGCAACGTTTCGCTTTTGACACAAAAGCTTCATCAGGCTAAGTGAGCAGGTCACCAAATTGGCCAGGTTATAAGGCAGACGGGGAACCAATCAGTAAGTCAATCCTCTTCGGATTTTCGCACTAGATCCGTGTTGAGTGTCAATTAATGGCTCTTATCGGTTAGTGAAGTTGTCAAAATCTTGCTTTGGTGGATTGGGGGGGGGGCTCAAATTAATTCTGATCGGGTTCGGTTCATTAATCTTCCACTTCAGGGTTCTTCAGTTGATGATTCACCTCGGTTGCCACTGGTTGATTTTTTCTGGTCTTTGTGGGGCCGTGAGTGATCCGACAGTTTGGTTTGAGGGGTTGAGGTCAAGTGGACTTTAGGTGATGACTATTCTTCCTTCTGATGACCGCACACCAACAGCTCGGTTGATCCAGAACCGTCCTCCACACACTTGCCAGTTCCACACCTTCTATTCTATTAACACTGAGGTGCTTGGCGATTTCTACTGCCTCGGCGATCAGTCTGTGTGGCGTGGACCGTAGTCCTCGCCTCAAAACCTCAACATTTTCTAAATCTATTTTGTGTCCCGTGTCGAGTGCGTGTTCCGCAATCGCCGAGTCTTTCAGTAACGCTTGATATTCATCTGCGTTTCTCGGCGGCCTGTTTATTTTTCTACTATGCTCTCCGACTCTGATGTGTAGTTCCCTGGCCGTCTGTCCTATGTAAACCTTGGTGCAGTCATTACACTTAATTTTGTAGACACAGTCCCTGGTTCTGTTTGCCGGGAGGCGATCCTTCAATTGCACCAGTGCAGAGCGCAGAGTGTTTCCCCTCTGGAAAGCTACTCTTATGTTAGCCGTGTTTAGAATTCTTCGAATTACCTCCGATGTCCCTGGTTTGTATGGAATAACAGCTGTCCCGATCCATTCCCTGTTGGGTTTCGCTACCGGTACCAACACCCTTCGCAATTGACGCCTAATCAAGCTGGCTGGATATCCACTACGCCGAAGTTTGTTCTTTACCTCAATTTGGGCCGCTGTCCGGTCAGCTTCTTTTGTGCACAAGGCCCTTACACACTTAAACTTACAAACTTAAACAGTGTGAAAATCCGAAGAGGATTGACTTACTGATTGGTTCCCCGTCTGCCTTATAACCTGGCCAATTTGGTGACCTGCTCACTTAGCCTGATGAAGCTTTTGTGTCAAAAGCGAAACGTTGCCCAAATAAAAACTACCGATTGTTTATCAAGTTCTTCTGAAAAGAGATTCAGGTCTCCCATATGCAAGTGAGTATACTTGTTGAGATCTGTCCGATTTGGGTTCAAATGGACCATAAGATTGACGGAAACTCGGGAACTGTGCCTATCTGACGAGCATCAATGAGGGCGAAATCGGTCGTGGGGCTGTCGAAGAGTTTTCAGCGGCCTTGTGAGTAGTTTGTTTTACGAATATCAAATATCATACCAACTGAAACGTGTGGCGGCCTTTGTGCAGCACATTCAGCTGAAGAATATCATAAACGAAAGATTCATTTGAGTCTCCCGTGAAACCCAAATTGATATGCAAATGAGCATGTTTGTTGAGACGTTGCAGGAACCTTTAACGATCGACTCCTCCCGCAAAGTCGTTTCATTATTATTGAAAGGTGCTTCGTTCCCGCAAGTCGCCTCAAAGCAAAATATGGTGCTCTCGATGCGGACAATTGATTATAGGAAGGACAATAAAAGTCACGGTTGTGCAAATAAGAAAGGGTGACTTCTCGACGAGATAAAGCGCCAATAAGCCACGGATGAACCCGATAACTAGATAAGAAAATACAGCATATTCTGCACACACTCAAAATCAAATCGCAGCGATGCTGCACACGTGAATATGAATATCGTGACGCTCAGACACGCAGAAAATTGCAGCCCATGAAAAAGCTATATTTGAAGCACGCTCACATTTACCGCGGTAGTGCACATGAAAAAACCAACTCCAGTCCCTAGATGGATAAAATGGCACTAACTGCGACTACGTTCCACCACCCAATTGCGCAGGATGCGTATGAAAACTATACTTTCCATCAAGTCAGTTGGGACGTGAGGCACATCTCGAGCTTGGGAACATTTGGTTATTCCCAGTGGGTGTGTCCTAATAATGCATTCTACTGTTTTCCGTTCTCCAGGAAAAACACTCCTTTTCAACAAAGAACGTGCGGCCGCTTGCGCACTTCCGCAATCGCAACGTCCAGGTTCCTGTGCGGACTTATAATTCAATGTAATAGAGCATCTCGTGTCACCCAGCTTGGACAAACTGGGATGCTGACCATATGTTCGACGTCAAACGATCTGTACGATTTCCCAAGGAGTCGATAAATTGAGAATGATTGAATTTTCCTTCTTACAGACACGGTACTGAGCATAGATTGACTAATCAATCATCCACCACAATTCATCTGATTCTGTGCAAGGAACTGGGCAAACCGGCAAGGGTGAGTTCTTCCCACTTACAGGACGAAGGCAAGATGTATGGCTACAATGACATGGAGCATATTCCCTTTATCAGGACAGCACTAACCTGGTTAAAATGTCCACAGAATGTAAAATTCTGCGGTCTAAGCATTATTACGCTTAAAACGCCTGAGGAATTTAGGTGGAAAAGGATGCGTTGTCCGTTGCACAGAAGCGGGGAAAGATAATTTCCAGGTGGTATGATTTACGTGACGCTTTGGGAAACAAGGGCTCTAGTAGAGGAGCACTAAAAGTAGTGTCATCACACCTGGCCGTCCGACGAATCGACAAACACAAGCATACAATCAACTAATAAAAATAACACCAAATATAAGAACAGGTCAATCGCAGAATCTGTTGCATTGGCGCAGAACGGATTTTAAAATATGTAACACGATAGGGATGGTGATAATAAAGAACAGGGTGGGCGAATGAGTCTGCAAGCCCAGCTAGCTACTATTATGGATTAGTCCGATAGGGGGACGAGAAAAGCACACTGCGAGCACACGTACGAGGAGAAACAAGTCAAATGAGAGAGGCATAATGAGAAAATTAAGCTCTGCAGGCACAAACAAAATGGCAGTGGTGGCTAATGGGACGCCATGACGCCCGTTCAGATTCAAGGATGGTATTGGAGTGAAAACAGCGGAACCTTGTTGGAAGAACACGCGATTACCCGAGTTACGGTGGAGCAAAAGAGAATAAAAACCAGGTCCAGAATAGATGACAAATGCCACGGCAGTGTAGGTTGACTATCGTTTGAGATGGAATGGTAAGCGGACAAACCAGAACTCAATTAGATGTAACCTTCTGTGCTGACGGAAAGGAGAACGGGTCTGCAAACACGGTAACTGGTTATGCAGGGTTGAGTGGAACAGTAAGAAAGAAATGCAGGTAGATCAGTCAGACTATTCTGCACAGTCGTGTATAGGAGCGCGGTGGATGAACCATAAAACACCAAACACAGCCATGAAAACACCTAGCATTGACTGTGTACGTGTGTAGGGAGGCGAGTCGTCGAGAGGAACTCTTTAACTGTACCATAGGAAGTGAATTTCAGTTGGGTTTGGTTGAATCTGGTTTGCATACAGGGGGAGTGACACATCTCGCATCCTCATCATCATCTTCTTGATCACCAGTCTGACTATCCGGTCCGATGTCCACGAACAGCTGCTCGCTGGAAGAGTATGAAGACAGGCGGTTTTCAAGGTAAGAATCACGGGTGTTTGTGTCAGGAACAACAGCGGTTCGATCAGCAGGTGCAACAACTAACGGAACCCGGCGCCTGGGCTTAGCAAAGCCCTGTCCACCTCCACCAACGCTTCCAGATGAAGTTGTTGGAGTTGCCGGAGAATTCGGTGGGGGGAAGTTGTGTTGGCCGCACGACTTACCGGGGGAGGCTGAGGGAGAGCAACAGTGACCATGACACATTCGACCGGCAGCTGTGTGGCTAACCGTCGTATGCAGTGAGTTAGGCAGTCCACGACCAACACTGGAAGTCCCACACACGGGTAAGGCCCAATCGTCGAGGTGTGCAGGAACTCGTTGCCCACATTCACGACAAAATCGTCCGCTGAGACCTGCAGCAACAGCAACCGCATAGGCGTGTCCTGGGCCGTAAATGGATGACGGATTAGCGCCCACTGTCCAAGCAGCAGCACCAGGTGTATAGAATGGAGAGGCACTTTCCGAAGTAGTTCGAATTCGAGGGTTACGGCAGGCCTCGTTGAACTGCCTGCAAGCCAAAAGAAATTGCATCGTGACTGGGAATTTGTTACGCAAGTTCGAATATATTGATGCTGGAGTGGTTAAGTATCAGAAAGGCTGGCCCAGCCGCGAGACAAATAAAGTTCAGTTAAGTTGTTGAGGCAATTTTAGACATGGCCGACCAATGGGAGGGTGCAAGGGACGCGACGCAAACCAAGAAGTTTAGCTATTTTTCGATACTTCATTGTGCCCCAAAAGTAGTATTGCCTCCGATTTGAAACTATTCCGTCTAGTTTTCCACCGATCATTGTACCCTCATTGATACCCGGAAAGTCATCATCATCATCATCATCGACAGCATGACATCAGTGTTTAACACCAATGCTTCACTGTCGTACAACCATGACTTATTTGAAAGCCTTATTGTAAAGAAAAGAATAAAGGTGGATGGGGGAGAGACTTAATGCTAGCTTAACACAATCATTCAGAGGTGCCTACACCTCCAGACATTCACTCAGGCAATCTGGGTAGAAACTAACAACAAGAACGCCACTGACATCGGTTGGCAGCCATATCTTGTAGTGTCTC